ACTAGTTGAATATTATTTTAGCCCAAAATTAAAATAGAGATGTGTAAGTCAAAATAAAAGAAATAGAACAAACATTTTAGTCTCTTTTGGTTGGTTTGGTTTGATTAAGTTTTTGTCTAGCAATCAGTTTGATTTTCTGAACAATGGATTTTGACCAATTCTTTTTTTTTTTTCTATAAAAAAACACACGTACCTTATTAACTTAGGAAGACATATATATATATATATATATATATATACTCTTGCAGCAGAATTGCAGGACAAATCTCCTTTAGTCGACACAATAAACACAACTCACAGATCACCCACCTCCGGCTCCGGCGGCGCCGGCGATCGTAGCTTCATTAAATGGCATTCTGTCAAAAGGAGATCTCCCCCATAATGCAACTGCAATCTCATCAACTCTATATATCTTATTTCAATTTACGCACACCCATTTATATATTTTATATATAGGGCCTATATATGTTAACTTTAATTGGGACAAAATTATTCCTTCTCTAACCTCAAGAAATGTGCAAGCCAAACAATGACCCGCGTGGGGTTTTATGTAAAAGCATACTCTGATCATTTCTTTTCTCATCTATATATATATATATATATCCTACAATAGTATTAAAAGAAAAAAGATTTATACTAAATGACATAAATATGTATTTATATAAAAGTATTGTAAAAATGTATTTTATTTTTTTTAAATGCACAAAGGTGGTTTTTGGTTTGGTTTCATATATTTGTATCCAATTTTACAATTTATCTTACTTACTTTGTAAATTTTTAAACTTATAAAAATACATATTCCTTCTATGCTGTTTTAATTCTCTCTTTTTATTTTAAACCACAATCGAAAGTAGAAAGCAAACAGATATTTTCTCTCCACACATGTCCTTTTGCCGCTTAATTATTGATTTATTTCAAAAGGAGTTTTAGATGATCTATTAAAAGAATTTCAATAATTCCACGATTCTATTAATTAATTAAAGGCTTTTTTTCTTTCCTTCTATATAAACTTTTTATCCAATGAATGAGGGAGGACTAGCTACTTGTTTGGTCTCCCTACACATATACATATATGACACATTTGAATTAGAGATGATATATTAAAAAAATTTCAATATAGGTTGTAAATTCAAATATCTACTTGGCTATAAAAAAAATTAAATCAAATATCTACTCTCTCTTTTTATTTATGATTTAATATTAAAAAATACATATAATTTAAAGTTGTAGGAGATGGATTCTCGATGCCTTAAACCTAGTTTTGACAATGATTTTAGGTTAAAATGCGAATTTAGTTATAGATTTTCAAGTTGGTATCCAATAGGTTTTTGAAGTTTAAAATGTTTAAATTAGATTCTTTCAATTGTCTATCTAACTTTCAATATTTTGTGGGTAATAGATTCTTCACCTATTCAATATTTTAAAAAATCTCTAGATCTATTAGACATATATAGAAAATTTACTTTTATCTTAATTTAAAACATTAGAGAACGAGAAACAATAAAATGGATAATGGTTAAATAGGCTTAGGTTACTTTTTTTTTTTTTTATAATTAAAGGAGAGAAGTAACATCCACTAAAGGGTGGTGGCGTAGTGGGCTTGTGGCCGAATGAAGATACATCCTTCTCGGTTCAAACCCTACGAGGCTCGTAGTCAAGACTTCTTCCCTCTTATTCGAGGACAAGTCTTGTCACGTTAGTTACGAAAAATAGAAAGAAAAATAAAAATAAAAACTACTACCACACTTAGTTCTATTTTTATTTATTAAAATGGGAAATAATAAACAACCACCAGAATTAAAGAATCACGCTTTTGTAAATCAGAACCTATCCTATTAGTTTAATAGAGACAAAATTAAGAAATTACTTTAACAATAATTATATTAAAGGATGGCGTATAAGAAAAGTTGATGGTTGAACTTGAACCAATTCCATTGTGGAGGTGCGTTTCCCAAGATGAATCTATGCGAAAGTCAGAAAAAGGAACTCAATAAGTTTTAATTTTCTAAGTAAAAACAAAGGAATTTGAAAACAGACTTAGTCAAATTGTAATTAATTAATTAATATGATTAGTATTTATTGCTTGCTTCACGCATCCATTAATTTCATAAAATTTTTTGGCTGTATCTCTCATTTCCCATGACGCACCAATAATAGATAAATATTTATCCATCGACCATAATTTCAAATTTCAAACAGCATCCCATTCCCCTGCATCTTATTTTATTTTTTTTTAATTCATTCATTTTTCCTATGATCTGCATGCTCTTTATTTTCTATCATTTCATCACTAATTAACTTCTTTTGAGAGAAACAAAAAAAAGATCTAACTTTGTAAAACATTATTGTTAAGGCCAACGGTACCTCTGTAGTTCGAATATCTAGCCTTATACCAATGGGGATAATTGTCCTTCTTTGTATACCATGGATAATCCATTTTCCTAACCAATGTGGGACTTTATTTACACTCCTTACAAACCCGACAATTATTAAAGAGTGATACATCATATTATTATTTAACAATTGTTAGTACTAAAAAAAATACCTCAATTATATTGTGGTATGCTAAAAACGAGACAACCAACCTAAACGTAGCTTAACTAGCTGTTAAGGTAACTATTTCTCATGAGAAATCGTGAATTCAAATCCCCGACCTTAAATGATGTTTGTATTAAAAAAAGATATACTAAATATGAGGAAGAGAAATACATGGTATGTATAATGCTAATATTGTCAGCTCATATTATTTATGCTAATTGTATCATTTAAAGCTCATTAATTATAATCAGGTATAATATTACAAGCGAGATGTGTGCTGAGAAAAAGATTCTTCTTTCGAAGAATCTCTCTTCTCCTTCGTTGTAGCCAAGACCATGTGAGCAACCCAACTAAGTTTTTGCAAAGTTTAATTAATTAGGATATAGTTGTAATTAATTATCAACGATAAAATCCATATATTTAACTTGTTATTTAATTAGCTAACTTGGGCTTGGTCTTCTCTAGGATAGTTAAGATAATTGAATGTGGTAATTAAAGTCTCCTTTTTTTAACATAAACTTAACCCTATCTTTAATAATAATTTACATTTAATAATAGTTTACTTGCAAGATTGTGTTATTTACGGCCATAAGCATACAAACTTTTCCTCAAAGGTTTATATATTATACAGCAAAATGTTTGGTTTTCTTTGAGATTTTCTTGCTAGCCTGACTTTAAAAAACGCATAGTGGGACTAACTAAAAGTTTGGTCCAACAGTAATATGTAGAGATGAGATTCGAAACCTCTAACTTTATGGTTGATGATATAATATTTCTTAATCCATTGAGATATGTTTTGGTTAGTGTGTCTACCTGTACTTTAATTTAAAAATTTCTCATAGATCACATGTTTAAAATTTTCAGTTATATGTGTCTAATAAATCATTATTATTAACTCTTTTTAGTTAAATGTTACATGACACATTGATGGTATTATTTATGTATTATATGTGGTGGATTGATTTTACTTAAATTTGTATGTTTGATGATTTGTGTGTTTGGGAACCTTACCGACAAAAAACTATTAAGATTCCATGGCCTATTTACAAAATCTTAAGCACGAGGACTAAACATACAATATAACGTGACTCTCGACCTATTATAAAACTTTTATAATGTACATAAATTAATTTATGGTACAAATTTAAAAAATTTATGAACAAAACTTATAATTTAATTTGAGTTTTCAAAATTAGGATTATCCATCATTATTATTTACTATATGATTCCAATCTCTATGTGTGAAGCGAACTATAAATATATAGAAAACATTAAAATGAAAATAAATTCACATCGTTAAATATAGTAAAGGTTAACAATTTTGCATAATAGGCAGAAAATCCCACATAATTTATGTCTAGTTATCCAAATTAAAGTCTTCGATGGAGAGAGTCTGTATCTCGTTTCCTCATGACCCCAAATAAACAAAAAAGTAATCAATTTGAATATAGTTTATTTTTGGTGACGATATGAAGAGCGACAAATTGTTGAATTGAATATGATGAAATTGAGAGATGGTTATAGAGTTAAGGAGTGGCACGTCCCCCCACTAATATTTGTCAACTCAACTCCCTTCAAAATTAAAACCTCCAATAATCCAACATTGCCCCTCTCCTTCTTCTCCTTCTTCTTCTTCTGATCTGGCGGAGGCGGCGGCGGCCATAGCATGGATGGTAGCTTTATCAACAACAACCACCGCTACTTTTATTCTGCAGACCAAGATCAAGATCAGGACACCCACAAATTAGGCCCGGATAATTCTCCACCTCCTTCTTCCTCCGCCGCCAAGAAGGGCAGGAGAGGGATGAAGAAGAAAGTGGTCTCGGTGAGAATCAACAGCGAGAGCCCCAGGAACAATTGCGGTGGCAGCGGCGGTAGTACAACCCCACCTTCAGATTCTTGGGCCTGGAGAAAATACGGTCAGAAGCCCATCAAAGGCTCCCCTTACCCCAGGTCACATCAATTTTCCCTTTTTTATCCCAATTTCGTTAAGTTACGAATTTTGGGTTTAATTTGAGTTTAAAGTTTCAATTTTTAGGGCGTATTATCGGTGTAGCAGTTCCAAGGGGTGTCCGGCGAGGAAGCAAGTGGAGAGGAATCGTCTGGATCCCTCCATGTTGCTCATTACGTATTCCTGCGAGCATAACCAT